TGTTTGCCTGTCCCCTACCACCAGGTGAATGGTCTGCAAGTGCTAACATCTGTGTCGGTCACAGCTGAAGTGCTAACATCTGTGTCGGTCACACGGACTCCCGATGGTTCCACGCTAGTCCAGCAGAAGTCAGGGGTCCAAGTGCGGCTGGGAAGCGATGGGCGTCTGGATGTGATGGTTGATGATGACCACGCTGGCATGCTCTGTGCGGCCTGTGGAAACTTTGATGGAGACCGGACCAATGACCTGCATGATGCCCAGGGGGAAACGGTGATGGAGAAATGGAAAGCACCAGACTTCTCCCCATGGTGAGGAAGGTGGCGTGGAAGCCAGGCTTCCTGGGGCAGGGGCACCTACCTGGATCCTCACAGGAAGGGAGGATGGCGTGTGGGTGCTCAGTCCTCAAGAGGTGCTGTCTGTCTCTTGCAGCCACAACTGATCAGTCATCCACTAGGAGTGAAGACTTCAAGATCTGACACCTTGGAGGTTACAATGATTGGAGGAGGATGCACTGTGTACCCCTACCCTACTCTGTTCTTTCGCCGAGCCACTGAGGCCGAATAGGACAGCATTGAATAAATATCTGAAGCCAAGCTGCATGCCAGTGTGTGTTAGTCTCACGCCTTTCGCCCTCCGTCTCCCCCTCCATGCAGCAGGGTGTCTGGCACATGATGAATATTCACTGGGTGAGAGCGGGTGCATGCATAGATGTGTGGGCATGGAGAAACAGGTGGTCGGATCGGGGAAAGGGCGCCTGGGGCAGGAAGAAGGTGCAGAAATGGATTAGAGGAACGGATGGATGAGATGAATGCTTGGAGGAAGGGAAGAGATGGAAGATGGAGGTGGGGAGGGCTATTGATTCTGGATTTAACATTTATAACCCTAGCAAGTTACTAAGTGTCTGGCTTGGTTTCCTTGTCTTTAAAGTGCAATTAATGAAAGTGTTTATCTCACAGAATTGGAATGAAGATTTAGTGTGTTGATTCAGTTAAAAAAAAAAATCAAGCACTGAACAGAGAGTGCGCTAGGAGAACATAGACAGTGGTGCGGAACCCGTGGCACGTGTGCCACAGTGGTCTTTTATCATCGAGAGTCCTAAAAGATTTGCCATCACCGACATCTGGGTCAGACCTCTGCTGCTAGGACAAAACACTTGACATACACAGTTTAAAGGGGTTTCCAAAGGCTCATGGTTTCAGAGGCTTCAGTCTATGGTTGGCTGGCTCCAAGGCAGGAACGTCATGGCTGAAGGGCAGTTTGAAAGAAAGCTGCCCACCTCCTAGCACGGCAAGGGCCCTCAAATCCACTGAGTTCCTCAGGTCCCATCACTGGCAATCAGCCCTTCAACCCAATGAGGCTTGCGGGGCACATTTTGGATCCGGACCATAAGAGGAGGTGCTGAAAGCTAGATGAAAGAGCACATTACTTAAATAGGAAGGAATCTCAGACGCTGATGATAATAAGGAAGATGAGGACAGAAAATGTGCCATTTGGCTTTAGCAACATGGTGGCCCTTCGTGACATTTTGGTGGAGCGATGGAGGCACAAATCTGATTTAAAGAGAAAAATGAGAAGTGAGTACAGTCAGTGTAGACGGTTCTTTCAAGGAGTCTTTTTTTAAAACCAGCCAGAGTGGTTATTATCTTTCTTCGTCTACAACTGCTGCCAGGATGCTGGGACAAAGTAAGCAGGAAGGTGGAGTCAGAGTTTGACGACAAGAGCAAAGTTGTGATGACAGCGGTGGGTAGGTAGGGAGCCTGGCCAGAGGGTGAGGGCAGTGTGGACCGGAGGGGCTGAGGGACCCACCACAGACAACTCTGAGGAGGAAAGGTTTATTTTTGGCTCGCGGTTTGTAGAGGTTTCAATCCACAGTCCACCGGCTCCAAAGGCAGGGTGGCATGGCAGAGGAGAAAGAGCTCAGCAGTGGAAGCAGAGAGCCATCAAGTGAAGAGAGAGGGAGAGGCGTCCTTTGAGGCCTCTCCCCCAGTGGCCCTCCTCCCTCGGCCTGGCTTCACCTCCCAAATCACAGGCATCCCATGTAGCTATAAAGTCATCAGTGGACTAACCCCCCACCATGGACCAATCCCACCTCCCCAAACCCTGGCCCATGAGTACGTGAGGCTTCAGGGGATGGGGGTCTTCTCGATGTAGACCACAGCACAAGATGCTGTTGAGGCTGCGGTTTTGAGGCTGTCCCGGCAGGACATGGGTCTTTCTCTCCCCACCGGCTGGGACTATCACCGTCACCCCTGGGTCTCCAGCACGGAGTCTAAGTGTGACCACAGGAGGGAAAGGCTGGGTGGAGGCCAAGGCCACTGGAGGAGAGGAATGGTCAAAAGATCGTCAATTAGGGATTCACCAGGAATAGTGATAGAAGCAAAGTGGGGAGCAGGGGCACCAGAGCTAAAATTACAGACAGCAGAAGTGAGCTGGGTTTTGACAGAGCTAGCAATGAAAAGGGGAGTGGTTGTTGTCTTGTGACTGTGTCAGCTTCAAAGTTTGAGGTTTAGGGAGGGGGCAGAAAGAAGGCGTTAGAAGTAGCATTGGAGAGCAAGGAACTCATCCCATTTGCAGATCCTGTGGGCACGGGGGCAGAAGAGTAAACCACCTCTACTCAGAAGGGCTGTGTCTTCAGGGGACAGCAGATGGTGCTCAGAGCGGGAAGATAAAAAGAAGCTTCCAAGGATGTTGAGCAGATGTGCAATACCAGGGAAAGCCCTGAGTGCTTCCCAGCCCTGCCCTGCCTGCCTGCACCACCCCTAGCCTGGCCCCCACCATTATGCACCTCCAGAGTGTGGGCCGTGACCCCTCCGGGAGTCAGAGCCCGGGTGCTCGCTGAGCACAATGCCAATTTCAGGTCTGCAGAGCAAGCTGGCAGATGTAAGACTTCGGAACCAGAAGATGCTACCAGGATTCCAAGAAATAGGGCTGGCAACCCAAATTCACACTGTACTCTGAGTATCTTTGTCTCTTAAGAAAATTAGTGCAGGACTGGAGATTTAGCTCAGTGGCACCGCACCTGCCTCAAAAGTGCAAGGTCCTGAGTTCGATCCTCAGTACCCGCCCCCCCAAAGAAATTAGTGCAGCATGGTGGCACATGCCTATAATCTCAGGGACTCAGGAGGCTGAGGCAGGAGGAACACATGTTCAAGGTCAGTGAGGGCAAATTAGCAAGACCTTGTCTTGAAATAAAAAATAAAAAGGGCTGGGGATGTAGGTCAGCTGTAGAGTGTCCTGGGTTCAATCCCCAATACTGAAAGGAGAAAAACAAAAAGAAGTCCAACGGTATAATCCACAGAAAATGGGTAACTTTATCCCAAATCAGACCCATTTGAATTATTGCAAAAAAAAATCCAGAATACAGTCAACTACTTCACCAATAGTTTTGAAAGTTTAAACAGCTTTCACACCTTGATGTCTGAGCCAATTTCCAGGAATGCTCTTGTGCAAAGTGATGGCATTGTGAAGCTAGGATACCCTTACAGAGAACTCAAAACAGTACTGGTTCATCCACTTCCCCAGTAACCGTTTCCTGAGTTCCCCAGGCCTGTGCTAGGCCCCAGTACTACAGCAGTGGTGGGGACACACTCCGAATCTTGGCTACAGACTCACAGCCTGAAGGTTTCCAGGAACTTCTCATAGTAGCACTTCCGGTTTAAATTGTAGATGAAATACATGGATAAATATTAATATTTTAATATTGTAAAGCAAAAATTTCTCAATAGTTAATGTGGAATCTATTCATTCCTCCTCAAACCCTCTGCCCCTGCTGTCTCTAATCTTGTCCATCAGTGTCTCCTCGCCGGTCCACTGCAGTGGGCCATTTCCTGGCCTTCCTGTTCCCACCCCTCCTCCCGTCCGTGTCCCGCCTGCATCCAGAAGGACTTCACGTCAGATCATGAGCCTTCTCTGTTTAGGCCCCTTCCACAATTCCATCTCACTCATGGTAAAATCCAGTCTTCACCAGGGCCACAGGCCTTGTGTAATCTCTTCCTGCCTCCCAGCCCCCGTGCCCTGTCACTCTGTCTCTCTCCTCTGGTAGCTCTGTCCAACCGCACTGGTCACCGTTTCCCGAACCCTCCGTATCTATCTGCTCTGCCTTAGGACCTTGGCGCCTGCAATATTGCCTGCCTGGAATTCCTCCTGTGTTTGTCTCACTCCTCATCTCTTTTAGCTCTTTGCTTGAGTCGCCTGATGCATTTCTTGAACACCCTATAACACCCCCCGCCCCAATCCCTGGGTGGGTCCCCTGCTCTTGCTTTCTCCTAAGCACTTACTGCCTCCTAACATTCAGCACCTCATTTAAACGATGAGCTCCAGGAAAGTAGGGATTTTTTGTTTTGTTCACTGCTGTAGTCACAGCACCTAGAACAGTGCCTGGTGCTTATAAGGTGCATAGTACATGTTTTCCGAAGGTATTATTTGGAGCCCAGAAAAGGTGCACCTGCTTTTTGGGGGGTGGACATGGGTGCAGGAAGGTTTTTTGGGTGTAGAGGGAGCCTTAGGTGGACAGATTCCTTTTGCTCCATCAGTTATATAAAGTTTATTCCTAGTTGGGCATGGTGGCACACACCTGTTTGGTGGGCATGATGGCACACACCTGTGGTAATCCCAGCACTTTGGAAGGCTGAGGCAGAAGGATCGCAAGTTCGAGTGCAGTGCTTTCCTCCCACCAACACAATCAACAAGTAAAACGTCATATCTCCACCCACAAGAGTGGACAGCCAAAGCTCATGTGGGGAAAAGGAAGGCAGAGGGCAGAGCCCCTACGAAGGTTGGGTAGCAGCTCTCGTTATCTGCAGCTCTCACCTATTAGAGGAAAACCGGAAGCAGGTTTGCGGTAGAGATCTTTGAGCAGGCAAAGCTCTGAGCCCTGACATTGGAAGGGTTTGAACCTCCAGGGCCCAAGGAATCCCCGCCCACTGCCAGCTCCGGGAGCTCGGGGCTGGCTGGAGAGCCAGGGGCGGGGTTACGTGATTACGTCACGCGCCGTACGTCACCCGAGCGCCTGCGCTCCTTTCCACGTGCGAAAGCTCCGGACTCGTGGAGTCCGGGAAACAGCAGACTCCTCAGGCAGCGTTAACTCAGCGCTCACCATGAAGCCAGGTACAGTCTGGGGCGAGGGGGATTCCGGGTGCCAGGCCCGAGTCGGAGGGGCGGGGCTTTGGCTTGCGAACAGGGGGTCTGCCTGAGCCTGGTCTGGTCTTGCGTAGGGTGGGAGTCCTGGTTCCGCCAGAGGAACGATCCTGACCTGGGGAAGTGTAGGGGTTTGTGACCGGCTTCGGAGTGCGTGGGATTGGGGTCCCGATCAAGGATGTGTTTAACAGGAAGGTTTTTAGCTGTTTGGGTACGGGTGGCATTCGAGGTTCCTGACCCAGAGTCTGGAAGCAGGCATCTGGGGCCTTGGAGCTCTGAGCCTGGCTTTGGGGGATCTGCCTCGGCTCGGAGACGGAGAGTCCCTGATCTTGGGGCCGGGAGCTGGTTCTGAGAAGCTAGGGTGGATGAGGAACCCCGCTTTGTAGAGTACGGCCCTTCGTGCCCGCTCTCCCGCTCTCTGCACTTCTGAGGGGGTGGGTCCCCGAGGATGGAGTGGAGATTTGGAGGCCTAGGACTCTCAGTTCTGTGGTAAGGGAAACAGCACGAGTCTGGCATTAACGGATGGAGGGAGAGTGGTCACACGGCCTGAGTGTGGGTTTTTTTTGGGGGGGGTTGTTTTTCATTCAAATTTCCCGTTATTTTGAACCTACTTCACCCCCCTCATGGTGGAACGATGAAAATCCTGACTTTAACAGTAGAAGGGCTCAGTGCTTTCTTTCATGTGTTGCTTCTTAGCCTCCCGAGTGACCTTGAACAAGTGGCTGTACCTCTGAGCCTCAATTTTCTGGTCCATAAGACGGCAGCTACTTAGGATTAAATGAGATAATATTTTAAAAAGAAAGTAGCACTGTTTGACATATAACGGAACTGGCTTCGTTACCCTTCTCTTTCTCAAGGGGAACAGAGCTGGGGTTCTTGTCCCCGATGTTTAACAGCGTCCTAAATCAGGCCTTCCCAGCCCCTACCTCCCTCTGTGTGAGAACTTGCTCCACTGTTTGAGAAGTTTTTCACTGTTGCAGAGAGTCTGGTTCCCTACTGCTGGTTTTCTGCTTGTGTGTGTGGAGGGATGGGAGTTGTCTACAGGCATCTGTGGATCCTCACTCCCCTCCCCACGTCCTGGTTCTTCAGTGTTGGAGGAACCTTTTGCAGAAAGGTGGGGGCTGCTAGGCTGTGTAACCTGCTGACGTGCCCGCGGGCATCCTGTGGACTGTGAGTCCCCCAGGAATAGAGGGTGCCCTTTTCCAACCTTTCTGCACTGCACATTAGTATGTGAAGTGGTAGAAATTGTTAGAAATCAGCTCTTCACTAAAGATTTTAGTCTTGGTGAGAAGAAGCCTGTGAGAGATTGAGGAGGGGAGTGATGCAGTGCGGTTGCCCTTTTTAAAGGGGATCTTCTTGCTTCAATTGAGTAAACGTTAGGAGACCCAGGGAGGAAGCAGACACATCAGTGGGAATTTGTTGCTGAAACCTAGGAGATGATGTGACTTGGACTAGGGCGGTAGCTGGCAGTGGGAATGTATATTGAAGATACAGTCAGCAGATTGTGTGTGTGAGAGAGGAGCCAGGACTAACCAAAGGTTTGGGATGTGTAATTGGAGGGATAGAGTCGACATTTTGGAGATGGGGGGTTGTGGAACAAGAACAGATTATAAATCAGGGAGTCTGACCTCCCCCCAACTTTCCAGAAAAATTTGTGTTTTTTTTTTAAGAGTGAGTCTTCTTGGTACATTTTCCTAAGATCCCTAGGATCGGAAATGAGTTAAGATTTGTTGAGTATCAGGGACCAAAAGTTTACATTTAAGCCTGCTGCACCCCATGGACCCCACACTTGTCAAATGGATCTGTCAGGTCAGAGAGTCTCATAGGCCTTGCTATTTGCTTCTCCCCTAGTAGGGGTTGAGGGGACTCATTCCTCTGGATTTACATAACAACATTCAAACTGTTGCGTGCTGTATATTATGTGGAATGCCTTTGTATATACAGTCATTTAATCTTTACATCTCTGAGGTGGAAAGTGACTCCTATGAATCTTCTCTATTCTTTTAGGTCATGAACAACCTCCTTGTGTGGAATACATAAAGGGAGAGAGACCAGGGCTCTCCTGGTCACCACCTGGTCACCTGCTTTCTGAACAGGACCCAGGGAATGATGAGTCTTCAGCGAGCAGTTGCTCATTTAATGTTTATTGAGCCTTTACTTTGTGTTGGATATTGTGCAGGGTACTAAGGATGTGGTGGTGATGGAAACAATTAAAAATCCTCGGGCATTCAGAACTTGATTCTGGTGTGGTGATAATATTAACAGTGCCATTTGTGATGGTTGCCATGCAGAGAAATAAAGCAGGGTAAGTAGGGTGTCCAGAAAGGCCCTTCTGAGTAGAGATCTGGCTCCAGGGAAGAAGTGGGGAGCTGTGCCACTCTGTGCAGGAGCCAGGCACAGGAACAGAAGTGGTAGGGTTATAGAAGCTGTCCTATGTTCATTCTTTCTTGTTTTGTTTTGTTTTGTTTTTTGTTTTTTTGAGACAGGGTCTCACTGTGTAGTTCAGACTGCTCTGGAAACTCACTGTGTAGCCCAGGCTGGTCTCGAATTTACAGTGATCCTCCTGCCTCAGCCTCCCGAGTGCTGGGATTACAGGTGTGCACCACCAAGCCCGGCCTGTGTTCATTCTTTGGTGGGAAGAGCACAGGTCCCATCCTGGAAGTAGTCAGAGGCCAGCTCCTTGGCATGGTGATTTTCTCAATTTGGGCTGCTCCCTAGAATCCCCTGGGGAGCTCTCCAGCGTCTCCATGTTCAGCAAGGTTAAATCTAAATCTCTGGGTTCCAGGGATTAAACAAGGTGTGGCTCACAGATAACCTGGGTTTTATAACCCAGGGAAAGGAATTTCGATATCATTTCAGATGCAGTGGAAAACTTTGGGATTTGGGCAGGGGGGTATGATGAGACTGATTTGCTTTGTTTTTTTTTTTTTTTTTTTTTTTTTTTTTTTTTTTTTTTTTTTTTTTTTTTTTTTTTTTTTT